ATTGATTACTAAATATTAGCAGTTGATTACTAGATATTATCAATTGATTACTAGATATTATCAATTGATTACAGCTGATTACTAGATATTATCAATTGATTACAGCTGATTACTAAATATTATCAGTTGATTACTAGATATTATCAATTGATTACTAGATATTATCAATTGATTACAGCTGATTACTAGATATTATCAATTGATTACAGCTGATTACTAGATATTATCAATTGATTGCAGCTGATTACTAGATGTTATCAATTGATTACAACTGATTACTAGATATTATCAATTGATTACTAGATATTATCAATTGATTACTAAATATTATCAATTGATTACTAGATATTATCAATTGATTACTAGATATTATCAATTGATTACAGCTGATTACTAGATATTATCAATTGATTACAACTGATTACTAAATATTATCAATTGATTACTAGATATTATCAATTGATTGCAGCTGATTACTAGATGTTATCAATTGATTACAACTGATTACTAGATATTATCAATTAATTACTAAATATTATCAATTGATTACTAGATATTATCAATTGATTACTAGATATTATCAATTGATTACAGCTGATTACTAGATATTATCAATTGATTACAACTGATTACTAAATATTATCAATTGATTACTAGATATTATCAATTGATCAAAGCTGATTACTAGATATTTTCTATTGATTACTAGATATTTTAATACGTTTTTGAGGTTTATATTTTCCAGTCAGTTACACAGTGAGAATGTTAATTTATTGTGGCAAGTGGTATGGTGTATTGTTCAGTTGTGTGAAGATAGTATTAGTAGTACAGAGATACGTCAACTTGGTGGCATTCCCTTATTATTGTCTTTATTACAGTGAGTATCCTTCTCTTACACATAGAGAGCTATGGGACCCATTAGGGGGTCTGATTTTAGGTTTCATTCCAGTTGCCATGACTTAACTATCTTTAATGCCATTCTCCAGGCAAAAATATCCATCTTTGAAAACTGCATGGACAAATAATGAACACAAATGTAAGAAGTAAAATTGTCTTCTGTTTAATTACGGTTTGGAAAGGTTGATATATTAAAAGTAAATTCTGGCTAGACAGACTCTCCTCATCATGGGAAGGTATATTTTGGTTCAGACTGACTCAAAACTGGGAAGAGTGTCAGGAATCTTTGCCCTGTCTATATATCTGATAACAACTCAAGTTATTTGTTTATATTCCAGTGAAAGAAAGTTGTTAAATGATAACAATGAGAATGATAATGAGGCTGTAGCCAGTGCTGGTATTAATGGTCGTACACCAATCACTCCTGAAGAGGTCAGTGTTGTATTCGGACTGTAATTGTTGGACCATTGTTAAAAAAAAAATTAATTAAAATTAAAACTTCCAAAATCGCTTTAGGTTTCTACTTCGGCTTTGCACTACAGAAAATTTCGAGATAGTACCTTCAGATTTTTGTAATGCAGGTCAGAGGGACTAACATGAAAAAAACATCATTAGGATGGGGACAAATAAAGTCCCTGCTGTGCAGTGTGCACTCTCAAAAATTACTTGAAAGTTGAAAAAGAAAAGGTTGACACCTTTCTTTGCAAAATTTCCCTGCTTGCAAACAGTGTGGCCTTGCATGTCTTCATTAGTCCATCAAGATGAAGAAAAGCAGACCATGAACCAGCCCTGTCGTTAGGGTGTGATCTTTGAGGGTTGGGCCCAAGCAAGTGAGAATTAAGCCCCAGAAAAATATTCTTCAGTTCAGCTGAGATTGATTCATTTACAGTGTCTGATACGTTTTTGGCACCTCAAAATTGTCAGAAATGAGTTCTCTGGGCCTTTAATTCTTCAAATTTTCTGAGTACAAAATCTGAGCCCCAGCACCAATTCATTCCTGGCGACGGGGCCGACATGAACTCTATTTCATTTGTTGGTTTTTATGTTGAAATCACGGTTTGGGAGGCTGGTGTTTCACCCTACCCTTCTATAGGTTTTCTAAATATTAGTCAGTCAATGAATCATTAAAATTTTTTATTCCAGAATGAAGAAGTGAAATATTCTCTGAAATCTGGTAATATTATTTTTGATTAGACCTCAATTTGTTTACATTATAAAATTCCCCTTTAATCCCCCAACCATGTTGTATTGATGTTAGGTTAGACATCATATAAGGAATTTATTTACAGTTTAAAAATTTATTGTCATCAGTAATATCTGTTATGGGTTATAGGACATCTAACTGAAAATGCAGTAAAGGGAAACGACTCATACTTAATTCTATGGCTACGTACAACACAAGTTTAAATAGAATATTGATATTTCTTATTTGAATGCATCTTGATGTTTGCTAGTCAGTTTTGATATCTATCCCTTAAACCAGCAGACATATTATATTACTAGTAATCCTTGTAAGACATTTAGAAGTATCACAGCACATTAAGATACAACAGTTCTTATGGATATTATATTACTAGTATATAACAGATTTCTGGTGACAGTTTATGAATTTAACACAGCTTTATGGAACAACAATCACAAGTTTTATGCAACGTTTCGACGTGTTTCCCCCGTCGTCCTCAGGCACATATTATGTGTTCCATAAAGCTGTGTTTATATATCGTACTCACAATTGCTAAATGTCATTTAAAGTCTTTAGTTTATTTGGCTTTGTTCTATTCCAGCTTGTTGTGCCGCTCTCACTGAGTTGGTATTAAATGATACAAACGCTCAACAGATAGCTCAAGCTAACGGCATCTACTCACTAGGTCTTCTCATTCTACCTCAAGACATTCCTAAAAAGGACCAGAAAGCTTTCACCAAATTGCAGGTAGGAATATTTCTCAAATCCAAATTTATATCAGTATTATGCATGTTATCTTTTATTTCTATGTTGTTATGCATGGCCTTGTCTGTCATTTACCAATCAGATTTCAATTTTATGCTTTTCTTTTCCAACTTCCATTGTAATCTAACAAGTTTTCTAATGATATTATTTTTAACCAAGCAAACCATGTCATGTAGGACCTATTTCCGGCTAATGACACATATTAGTGAAACTCCAAAGAAAGTCTCTTCAGGTTCTGCTATATCACAATATGTCATTGTTAGCCTTAATCTGGTCCTCATTAGGGTTATGAAGACATAATATTTGAAAAAAGAAATGAAATTGTAGGCTTATTTAAGTTTATTGCATTACTCCAATTAAGCACAGAACGGATGTGATACTCCATTTCATTTCATTAGTTTAACAGACTGATTGATGCCAGCAATAAATGATAAAGTTTTTATGAAACTTTCGTGAAATTTGTACACATAATGAAAATAATGTAATATTTTATTTCAGAGAAATGCATTCCGAACTCTCCGGTTCTTATTCAGTATGGAAAGAAACAGGTGTTTATTCAAGCGTTTGTTTCCAGTGAATCTATTTGAATGTTTTATCAATGTGGGACATTATAATAAAGATTTATCAGCTTATATACCACTAGTAGATCTGATTAATAACTTACCGGTAAGTAAAAACAAAACATTAGGGGGTGGGGTATAGCAAGGTGCTTACCCAGAACAAGAATTTAAGTTGTCCAATCAGGTTATTAACCATTAGGTAAGTTGAAATATAGTTAGGAGCTCTCTCTCCAGCAAGGACGTCGGGTTTAGACCAGCAATTTCTCTTAAAACAAAACATTAGGGGGTGGGGTAAGAACTTAAGTGATTCAACCAGGTTATAAACCATTAGTGGATCTGATTAATAACTTACAGGTAAGTTAAAATATAGTTAGGAGCTCTCTCTCCAGCAAAGAAGTCTTGGTTAGACCAGCAATTTCTCTTAAAACAAAACATTAGGGGGTGGGGTAAGAACTTAAGTCGTTCAACCAGGCTATAAACCATTAGTAGATCTGATTAATAACTTACAGGTAAGTTGAAATATAGTTAGGAGCTCTCTCTCCAGCAAGGAAGTCTTGGTTAGACCAGCAATTTCTCTTAAAACAAAACATTAGGGGATGGGGTATAGCAAGGTGCTTACCCAGAACAAGAAATTAAGTTGTCCAATCAGGTTATAAACCATTAGTAGATCTGATTAATAACTTACAGGTAAGTTAAAATAAAGTTAGGAGCTCTCTCTCCAGCAAGGAAGTCTTGGTTAAACCAGCAATTTCTCTTAAAACAAAACATTAGGGGGTGGGGTAAGAACTTAAGTGGTTCAACCAGGCTATAAACCATCAGTAGATCTGATTAATAACTTACAGGTAAGTTGAAATATAGTTAGGAGCTCTCTCTCCAGTAAGGAAGTATCGGTTAGACCAGCAATTTATCTTAAAACAAATCATTAGGGGGTGGGGTAAGAACTTAAGTGGTTCAACCAGACTATAAACCATTAGTAGATCTGATTAATAACTTACAGGTAAGTTGAAATATAGTTAGGAGCTCTCTCTCCAGCAAGGAAGTCTTGGTTAGACCAGCAATTTCTCTTAAAACAAAACATTAGGGGGTGGGGTAAGAACTTAAGTGGTTCAACCAGGCTATAAACCATTAGTAGATCTGATTAATAACTTACAGGTAAGTTGAAATATAGTTAGGAGCTCTCTCTCCAGCAAAGAAGTCTTGGTTAGACCAGCAATTTCTCTTAAAACAAAACATTAGGGGGTGGGGTAAGAACTTAAGTGGTTCAACCAGGCTATAAACCATCAGTAGATCTGATTAATAACTTACAGGTAAGTTGAAATATAGTTAGGAGCTCTCTCTCCAGCAAGGAAGTCTTGGTTAGACCAGCAATTTCTCTTAAAATAAAACATTAGGGGGTTGGGTATAGCAAGGTGCTTACCCGGAACAAGAACTTAAGTGATTCAACCAGGTTATAAACCATTAGTAGATCTTATTAATAACTTACCAGTAAGTTGAAATATAGTTAGGAGCTCTCTGTCCAGTAAGGATGTCTGGGTTAGACCAGCAATTTCTCTAAAAAAAAAGATTAAGGGGATGAGGCAAGATGCTTTCCCTTCAATAATGATGTTTGTGTTTTGACCAGCATATTCTCTTGAAAAACAATTAAGAGTAAATATCTTCTCGAACCACCTGATGGTACTCCTCGCTTGAGGAAGTCAGGAAGTCACATGATACATGATTTTCTTTCAAAACGGAATTGTTTTGGTCGTACAGATTTTTATGAAATTCTGATAAAAGCTCTATTTTTCAGAAAAGTAAAATTGATGAAATTAGAGAGAACGTCCAGGAGACTAATCAGAATAGAAATCCATCGAAATATATCGGTGATTATTCTGTATTTGAACTGCTGGGAACAGGAGCGTTTGGGTCAGTTTATAAAGTTAAAAAGACAACCTCGGGACAGTCCTTTCTTGCCTTGAAAGAGGTGAGTTCCGTTTACAGGCTTAATTTATGCTCTTCTTCTTCTTGGTTTCCCTTTTGGTGAAAAAGGTCATACTATGTATTTTGTTGGAGCGTTCCTATTTGTATGTCTTGAGCAGCTTTGAGGGATGTGGCGCCAGACAGGGTACTGTTTGATTAAGGAGGAACATGGCTTGTTCTACTTGTTCTGTGTCTTGATACTTTGTTCATCTGTAAACTTTCATATATTAAGTATGTTTTCTTCTGGGACACTATGGTTTCATTTCGGTGAGAGACAGATTTTGATAAGGAGCAACATGCGCTGTGTCCCGAGAATCCTGTCTTCTACTGAAGAGTTCTTCTGTGATATTTCCTGATCTAGAACCCTGCAGGTGGCTCCACTGACATATGACATTCATTAGCCCTAAGTTATATATTTCTTCACAGCATAGTGATCACGAGTTGCGCAAGGTTGTTTAGGAGCATAGCCATCACAAATTTTGAACGCAACTCTCATGCAATTGAATTGTGTTTGGTGGTTATGAACATTTTCATTATTTACAAGCATAAAGAACTGGTAGCCTCTGATAGTTATTGTTGACAATTATATACATACTAAATACTGTATTGTTAGTTGAAATAAGTAGATATCCTCGCAATCAGGTTACTCTTTAAATATGGCTGTATTTTGTTAATTTGATGAGGCCCTGTTTGCTACAGGCTGTGCTCGTTAAAGTTCCTTCGACAGCTGGAAATCGAAAAAGAGCAGGTTAATGCTGCTGTCCTGGCAAAATTTCCCTCATTGCACTCTGCATTGTCTTCATTAGCCCACATGGTGCAGAAAAGTAGGAAGTAAAACTCCATTCATTTCATTATATTTCATTTTGTTAATTTGATATTCCCCAGGTGAATATACAGAATGCAGCGTTTGGTAAGAACTCTCTAGAAATAGAGTCTAGTTTAGGTGATATTACCAATGAGCTACAGATCATGAAGGAGGAACTGAAACATCCCAATATTGTCCGATATTATAAAACATTTCTACAAGGTAAGAGAAAATGGCCAGTAGCGTATTAACGGGGGTGGACACAAGATCATGGACCCCTACACCCCCGC